CTTCCGCTTTCCTCTCTTGTCATTAAGAAATTTGCTAATTCATGAATCAGATTTCAATTTCTAATTCTGCTTCTATTTTATTCTGAAAATGCTTCTGTCTTTTTTTTCTTATAGGAAAATTATGTTGCATATAGCTGGAGTTTTTGGTGAAGAAAATAAAATCATAACTTTTTATTTTAATAATATCCTTGTTATTTAAAAAGATAAAATAACATACTTATCTCAACTCACAAATTTATCTTAAACATAAATAATTATAATAATCATACTATTTCTAATTTAGAAGTTATATTTTAATTACTGAAATATCTAATATGGATAAAAATGTCAATTCAGTATTAAATAAAATGTATTTTTCAAAAAATAAATAGAATGTGTAATTTTCAAATTTCAAACTATTAACAGAGTAATTTACAAATTATCCCAAACTAAATCTGACCCTTTGTACTCATTTCAGTTTATTAATATTTTAATTACACAAGTGATGACTAATATTTCATTTGCATTTCTAATAAATATATTTATATATATATATATATATATCATAATTATTAAAATTAAATATTTAAATGATGGGACATACATGTATATAATGATAATATTTATTACTAAGTTTATTTCTGTTTTACAAATGAATATTAGTCTTGAATATTAATATTTGAAAATTAGTATATCTAAATTTATAAATTTTTAAATATCAGTTAGATTTAGATGAAAGACTGTTATTACTAAAAACATATTTTTATATAATAATTTCCAAATTACTAATTAATTAAATTTTATTTTATAATAAAAATATTTATTTTTTGTTTTGTTTTATTTAAAATATAACAAATTTTCTTAAACTTTTAAAATCAAGTACGATAATTTATGAAATGCTAAAGTTAAATAAAAGTAAATACTTTTGCAGCTAAATAACTAACTTATGGAAATAAAAATATTTACAAATTGTTTAACAAATATGATATATGTATAGAAATTATAATGAAATAAAAAATGTTACCATTTAAAAAAAAATGAACATTAATCTTATAACATTTAATTTTAAATTTTTATACTTTTGTTAAAAACTCTGTAATCTTAACTGTTATAATTTTTCCAATTTTATTATTTTTTAATTTTTTTTTTCAAAATCTTTAGATTTCTTACATTGGTAAGACATAACTTATATTCATTTGTCTCTAGTTAAACAATTTTTAGAAATTCAAAATTTAATTTTGAATTTTCAGATATTATATCAATTATTTTTCTGTTATTTTATTTGTTAATTTAAATTTTGTGATTGATTTTCATTTTTATTCAAAAAATAATTGTCATCTAACCTATTGGAAAGAAATAAAACTTGCGGAACTCTTAACAGCACATCTATAATAGTTGACTTGGCCTAAATATTCTAATAGTTGTTTGAGATTAATAGGATTAGGGTATTATGTAGTTACTTTAACTTTCATTGACTACATGTATATTCTTCTGATTTCTTCTGGTGCTAGGGAACAGAAACACGTCAGAGAAGTCTGGAGAAACTTGCAGTTTAAGAAAGCTCGTTTTGTCTTCATTTATTGTCAGCCAAAAGTGATATTAGCAAATGATATGCTCACAGATCCCGCAGGCTGATTGTAAGTGAGCGTTGAAGCTGTGTTGTTATCTTTTCTCTTCTTTGTCTCAGCCAAGGTGAACCTGTTTGCCGGCATCGTGGTTTGAGATAAACCTGTGTACGGAAACTCGCTTCATGTAGTCGCTTCAGATGTCTCTGATAGCGTATGGAAAATGATTTGTGTCTCGGCTTCCTTCGAAAACAATGAACCAAATCACTTATAAGGAACCAGGGTTTTAAAGCATCTGTTTGTTCCGGTCTATTTGTAATTGTAGCTTTGATACAATAAATATTGTTGAGGGTAGCTTGTTGTATTACATACCTGTTAGGTTGGTAACTTGTTTAGATTTGTAAGCTCTTTGATACCTTATTTTCTCCTGCAAAACAAATATTATGATTTCCCAGGTCTCAACACATAATCACAGAGACTTTATACAGATCTTATGAAAATCGATTGAAACCCTCATTGAAGTTCTCCATGGTACTTAGCATCCATTTCATTGTTAGGAGGAAACTTAGGTAATGTCGATGTATCACAAGCATAAGGTTTTGTGTTAAACTACTAAAATAATAGCAAATCCACAGAGAAGACCAAAACACTGTCAGTTTTAGGTTTTGGGTTCTTTTTTCTTTACCTATTACATGAGAGCATAAGAGGCAGTTCCTCGTTAGTCTGGACCAAAAGATAATAGATTATCCTGAAAATCGGCTGATGTTATCAGAAACTCCTTGATGTTAATAGATTCTCAAACAACGCTCATATTGATGTTGTAGTCTAAACATCTTAGTTTGAGAATGTAGCTTGTTATTTTCCCAGAATTCTTCATCTGGTGAACCAAAGAGTTTATCAGATAAGATTAGTTGTTCAGTCTACACAAAATAACCACACATAAAAACTCATTAAGAAAATCTATCTGGATGAGTAATTTTAATATATTTCTTTGGTCCCTTTCTCACCTCAGTTCTTCCTTTTAAGAAGTCGTCTTTCGGTAAGAATCTCAGTGAAAAACAGCCGAAGCTCCAAAAGATCAACTGAGACACTGTAACACATAACGGATGAAAGTTTTTTTGGATCTAAACAGTTTCGTCTTATTATTCTGAACCTAAACAAAACAAAAAAGAATTAAAAAGTGAGAATGGGTGATTTAAGGAACAACACAACCAAATCAGAAAAGCAACAAACAAAAATGGAAGTGTTAAAGTCGCTCCCACAGTGATACAACATTCTTTCACTCTCCGACATCGTCATCTTGCTCTTGATTTTCTTGTACAACAGTTCTCTGTCGTAAAGAGAGTCGTGAGTTGTCTTATTGGAATCAAATCTAGGGAAGCAAATAATCTTATCTGAAATTAGTTTTTATACCTGCTCGTCGATAAGAAACAGTTCTAACCCACTAAGCATGTTCCCTTTCCGCTGTGTTTCTTCCTTCCTACAAATGAAAAAGCTTTCAAACGCAGCCCCGATTAACTAAGCCAGAGGGACGCCTTTAAGAAATTGAGCGATTGGAGCCTTAACGGTCGGATTCGTCCATTTGGTCGCCATTGTCTGATGTGCTTTGATGGATTTCGTGAATTTTGCGAGAAGAGTTTTGTTAGGTTTATATAAGGTGGAGAACAGAGGGTTTTGGAACGGTGGAATAGCCTACCATTAAAGGATTAATTAGGGGTTTAATGAGAAATAATGGTGGAACTACTGTTACCAATCAGAAAAACAGAAGAAAGAAAAACGTTAGAGCTTCTTAGAAGAGAACGATGAAGGTGGAAATGGAGAAGTGTGTTTGAGAGCTTTTACTGCCGGGAAATTGATTGGCCAACAAATGGGCTGGTTTAGGCTGGTTTACAAAGTGGACCAAAACATTTCTAATTGTACGAATGTTTTGTGCGTGAAGTGAAGTGACATGGCAGATCAGAACATTCTGATTGGTGGATTTAATTAAATGACGTGGACACTCTATTCTTTGAGTATTAAGAGCTTTTAATACAGTAAAGATTTCTTTCATGTAATTCTTCTTCAAAATTTTTTAGAAGTAATTGATGTACGCATCCTTGAATTATATTTTCTTATATTTATAAGCAAAGTAACTTTAGTAATAAAAAATATGTATGTTATTTTAAAGAAAACCTAATATATTTACCATCATGTGATAGAAAATGTATTTCTATAAGTTTGTTATTCTTTTTGATTTTTCTTTTGATTTTCACATTCTAGTAAAATGTATTGCATTACTACAGTTAAAGTGTTTTGATTTATGTGATCTTGTTTTAAATAACTATATGAATTAATTATTTACTTGATGTTTTTCAATAAAAATATATATAGAAATTAAAATTAGAAAGAAAAATACTAAAAAGAAAAAATTTAAAATGTGGAAAAGTGGCTTATGAACTTTACAAACATGGACAAACATAGGAGGATGTATTCAAAACTGGGATTTTTAGGTGATTTATATCAAAATGACAAATCTACTGTTATTCAAATATATATTTTAAAAACTTATTCAGAATCTACTGTTATTGAACTTGACATTTTATAAATACTCTAAAATCCATTACTATTTAAAAATATTTTAAGTTATGGAATTTTAAAATTTTTAAGTGATTTTAAAATGTTTGGGTAGAGTTTCTTAATTAAAAAAAAAAACTTAAATCTTATGGTTTTAGGTGACATTTGAGAGTGATTTCACAAAAATCACTCTAAACTCTCCAATTCATTGAAATCATCTAAAACATCATTAAAAATCAAATCACCTCAAACTTTAGATTGAATACAGCCCCATAATATCATAATAAAGTGACATTATAACTAATTATATATTTTCTTACATGTATAAACATATATTCAAAATATTCATATGTACTCATGCGTCTACATCATTAAAATTTTACAAAAGTTACAACATCATTATAAGATGTAAAAATAATAATAATAATAATAATAATGAGAATAATAATAATAATAATAATAGTAATAATAATAATAATAATAATAATAATAATAATAATAATAATAATAATAATAATAATAAGAAAAATAATAATAATAAGATTCGAATTGTATCAAGAACATTAAACAAAAATACTCACATAATATTTTTGTTGTAAACATTATTTTGTTTTGTTAAAATTATATGAGAAATCTTAAATATATATATATATGAATATTTGTAATTTTTTTTGTTTATGATTTTTAAAATAGGAAATTTTCTAATAAACAAAAAATTTGTTATATCTTACTATTAATACAAATAAATAATTTACTTTCTAAAAATAAATAATTAAGAATTGAATTTTACACTTCTCTTTTGTTTAATTTCAAAAAAAGGAAAATTAATATTAAATATTTTTTTGTTATTATTTGAAAGATTTATAATTCGTTTTTTAGGTTTTTATTGAATAATTTCTTGAAATGGTAGGATTTTCTACTTGGTTCGTTTTTTTTTGTTTTTTTGTGAAAACTACTATTTTATTTAATAATTCTCTTTGTTCAGGTAATAAAAATTGGAACTTAGGATTTTTACAAAAGGAAAATTACTTGCACATAGATATTGATAAATATATTTTGTTTAGGATTTAGAAAAGGAGATTTACTATTAAATAAATTTTATTGATTAATTTTAAATTCATTATAAATAGTTTGACACGTCATAATCTTAAATAATTTATTACCATTTGTCACAATCATTTTAATTACTAATTTTGAATAACCAAATTTTATATAATAAGATCACAACATCTAATTTTTGTAGCCATATCTGTTACCGAATTTACAGTTTTTTTTTAGTACAACAATAAACATTCCTATAAAGTAAGGCATTAAATTGAAGACGAACAAGTCCCAGGATGTATATGATCATTATTAGTATTGAATTCTAGATACAATTTTCTGGACCCATTATTACATTAAACGGGCCACCAAATTAGCCGGCCCCAATTTTTATGTTCCACAACTTTACTTAAGTTCTTGTTCTTCTTCGTACCCAATCACCAGCTGTCTCTCTTCACTCTTTTCAAAAATGTAGCCTTCGTTTTGCTCCGCCCGTGTCTCCGTCGCTCTCTTCCTCGTTATCTCCGCCGTCCCCATAGCTTACCTCATTGTCCTAGAGAGAGCGGCTCCTTCCACGCACGTCTTCTCTTACCACAGCTCAGGTTTCTTCCGTGAGTGCGCTAAATGGGACAATGTTGGTCGGAGATTCCTCGTCTCCTTCATGGACGGAGGCGGAATCGGCGAGGTTGTTCCTAGAGACAGTGACAACGACGTTCTTGATGAAGTCACTTTAGTCAAAGACATTGACCTCGCCGGAAACGCTTCTCTCGGAATCGTTATCGACCACGACAGGAACCGTGTCCTCGTCGCCGTCGCCGATTTGTTTGGAAACCTCTATAGCGCTTTAGCTTCTTATGAACTGTCCACGTGGCGTCGTATCTTCCTCGCTGAGCTTAGCGGTCATAGTAAGCTCTCTCTCTCTCTCTCTCTCTCTCTCTCTCTCTCTCTCTCTCTCTCTCTTGTTTTGTAATATTATTTTTTCATGAAAATGTAGGTAAAGAGAATTCATTTGCAGACGATGTAGCTGTTGACGCACAAGGCAATGCTTATGTGACGGATGCAAAAGGCAGTAAAATCTGGAAAGTTGATGTCAATGGAGAACTTGTCTCCACCATTGAAAGTCCTCTATTCACTCCACCTGGATGGTACAATAACCTGGTCTCTCTTAACGGCATTGTTTATCACCCTGACGGTTTCCTTATCGTCATCCACACTTTCTCCGGTCTCTTATACAAAATCGACCTAACAGCCGATGGGGATGATAGTAATAAGGTCACTGTCATTGAAGTTACTGGTGGCACTTTGAGGTTTGGTGATGGGCTTGAGTTGTTGTCTCCTACCAAGATTGTTATCGCAGGTTGTCTTATTTACATCTCGTTTTGATTGTTATGTCTAATTATTGAATTTGGATTATAGAGTTTAAAAAAAAAAATGACTTTTTGTTGTGTTTTTCAGGTAGTCCTTCAGCGAAATTGGTGGAGAGCTCAGATGGGTGGCGGACGGCTTCAGTGACAGGCTGGTTCAACACGGGTATGGTTCATCGGTTAGTCTCGTCGGCTACTGTGAAGGAAGGAAAGGTTTATCTAAACCACATTGTTGGATTTGGTTCTAAGAAGAGACACATACTTGTCGAAGCTATGTTTTAGACCTTTTTAGTGTAGTCTCTTCTAAAATGATTCTATTGAAATGCAGTGCCGGCTCAGACTTTTTGCAGGCCCTGGGGCAAATCATAAAAATAGATCCCCTAAACCATGAAAACTTATTTTGCAACAAAAAATGGTACCATTTATTAAAAAAAAAAAACAAAATACAAATACCTAACGTGTTATCGTTTTCATTCAAATAAATAATGTAATAATCTAAAACCAACAACGAAAAAAAACTAAAGTTATCATCGACTGAAAAATTATTAATGCTATCAAATTTTGAATTCATTGACACTTGGACATATGTACAAATTTACTTAGTGACTCTTTTATGATTGAATAAATAATTTAGGTAGAAGAAAAAATAATACGTAAATTTAGGAATGTGAATTTAAATGGTCATAAAATATACAAACCATAAACAATGGTAAACAAAGATTGTGTTTATTCATTTACAAAAAAAAAAAAAAAGATTGTATTTATAATCACCAATATTTATATACCACGAACTTTGTATTTGATGTTCTTCTCGTTAAGGCTTTCATTGAAGTTTGATGTTTCTTTTTCATGTTTTCAGCTTGAGCTAATTAATAAAATTGACAAAGTTTAATGTTTTACAAACAATTTTTTTAGTGGGGTCCCTTTTGCTTACGGGCCCTTGGGCGACCGCCCCTCTGCCCGGCAGTTAAGCCGGCCCTGTTGAAATGTGATGTAAGCTTGTCTTTATCAAAATTTCATATAAATCTATTGTGTAAGAAAAACAAATCATTAGAAGATGTTTAACATTTTTCACGTTACAAATATCAACTTAAACCTTTGTATTAAGTGTAGAACCCCGAAGAAAAAAGAAAAAAAACGGTTTCAACTAGTGACTTTGCTTACACTTTGGAGTCACCTTCATCGTCATAATGTACAGATGAAGCTGTAGAAACAGGAGCAACAGTACTAACTTGTTCGAAAAGCAAGACCATTCCAAAACCTAAACAGCCTTTAACGATCCTAACCATACCAATCGTCACAACCATATAGTATAACCACCAGTTCACAAAATCAACCGTTCCTACACCCAAACCAACGTCGACGTTACCATCTATTGGTAATAACAACAACAATGCTCTTTTAGCCTCTGCCACACCAACCAAAGCCTCTACTTCATCCCGAAGCTTCCACCACCACAACGTTCCACAGTTGACGGCTAAAGCCACTCTCTCCACCACCGTCTCTTCTCTTCGGTAGTGACCAGCGTCTCCTCCGGTCAACGTGCTGTCCACCACCGGTCTAACGATCACCCTACACCATAGAAGCATCACCTCATGAAGACCAAAGAAAAACACTAGCTTGCTCAAGAAATTACTTTCGCTTCCGCTGATTAAACCGTCAGGAGTCGTTACTTGGAGGCCTAGACAAACAGAGACCTGAACAAGAAAAAGCGTGAGCCACGCCATGCTGACACGTGGATAAAAAGGAATCGAACGGTTGGGATCTGTAGCTGTGATCTTGGTGGTTAGACCAAGAACTAGAGTGTAAATGCTTATCAACGAGACGACCGCGTATAAGATGGCTGGATTAGTGTAATGAAAGATAGAGAAAAGGAATGATGAATCCGTTTGCGGAGGAGATTTGAGCAAGGAGAAGAGGAAGGAAGCAGAAGAGAGACGGCTAAGGAGAAGGAAAGAGAGAGGAAGGAGGAGGCTGAGGAGTGTTGTTGTTGCTAGCCTGAAAGGCTTAACCACCAGCTGCTCTGCCTCTCTCCACCATTTTCCACCGCCTGCGATACTCATTTTAATCTAAACTGAAACAAGGTTGACAAGTTAACAAATGGCAGGCAACACATTCATATTATAAAGATATTAAGAGTTTGTGTTTGAAGAAAATTCAAGGAGTGGGTGCCATGTCTGTAGTTTCAAGTTAGGTTTGATGAAAACGAATCATTCATATAAAGATATTTTAAAATATACGTTGATACATTACCATAATAAGAGATTACTTGCCCATTATTTAAAATGTATAGAAGAAGACTGCTGATGAGAAATAAGAGGCAAACACAGCTAAGACACGACGACGTACTGAGACTCCATGAAGCTCTCTCTTCCAATAATAGAGGGCATTTTGCATCACGTCTTCAATCATGTATTTTTATTATTAAACAAACAACGATACGGAGATAGCCGTTGGAGAATTGTATATATGAACGGCTTTGATGTGATCGTTTGGTAAAAGCCAATAGACGATCACGATCTCGTCTTGTAACAAAAGAAAATGAGCTCTGATCAGACTAGACTTATAAGTCTCTGAAGAAGCAAAGTAATGAGAAACTAAACCATGTCTTTCTGTATCTATAAAGTAAAAAAAAAAAAAAAGTTCTCTGTCCTTATCAAAAAGGAAATATAAATCAATATCTAAACCGGTGGGGTCTGATGCTGCTGCTGGACCGCCTTGTAGCATTTGAGGCTGCAAAGAGGAACCTTAGTCTTCGAATCACGATATTTGAAAGGATTGGTGCATGATGGTCCCGCGCAATTTTCTCGTGGAGGAGGATAACTGCAGATACATTACATTGTTATCACAAAGGTTTCAACTCGTGAGTTACTTGAAACGTTACAAAAGAAAACTGAATCACCCAACGGTTTAAGCATTCCTTATTTATAAAGCTCACTAACAAGTTGATGTAGCATGTGTAGTTGCTCACATCAATCAGTTCCAATCAGTTATGAGACTAAGGGACATTGACTCATGAAGAAGTGGTAAGATTTGAGTTTGTGAGAAAAGAGTATAACATACCCGGATGGTTTGGGATCAAATAGGCTAGGCACTTTGCCAATGGGAAATGAAACAGTGGTTCCATTAGGACCCATTATTGTTCTGATGTAGCTTGTCGAGGCCCTTTCCTCGTGTGCAGCTCTCTCCTGTGATCAATTCATTTTCAGCATCTTAGAAATAAAGGCATCAACAAGAGTAAGGTGGTTTCTAGTGTGTATTTCCCAAAATACCTGAGCCAATTCATCAAGTCGTTTCTTATTTTTGTCTTCACGCTTCTTCCTGCTCGAGTCTTGTCCTAGAATTTTTCTAATGGCCTCTGCCTGTAGACACACAAAATCATCACTCACATGGAATTGCCAAAATATTTTAATCACCATAGAGAGAGAGTAAACACCAACCTCAGACTCCCTTGCAGCCTTTTCAACCTGAACTTTTCGCCTTTGAGCAGCTTCTGCCTTCTTCAGTTGCTGCTCCATTTCTGAAACATTCTCCTTTTTCCCTATTTTATTTTGAACATAATTTATCACAACACATTACCAACCTTTATTGCAAAAGATGTATATACTTATTAATCTGAAGCAAAAGAAGAAAGAAGCTATACTTCTCGATGTAGTAGGAGGTAATCCATCTGGAAATTCAATTGCGCTTGATTTTCCAGATGCAGAAGCAAGGGCTCGTTGGCGACTCGTCAAAGTTGATTCCCTCTTAATATCATCACCAGTCTCTTTATCTTCAGGCACTGATTCAAGCTCCTCCGCATAATCCATGTATTCGGAAGCCTCTTCAAATGCAGTTTTCTTCTTACCAGAATTTTCTGCATTTGTAATCCCAGATAGCTTTAACTGCCTCCTACAGGACTCAGTCTCTTCATTTAGGAACAAAGAGACACTCCTGTACTTGGGTTTTTCCAAAAATTGGATCTCATCATCATTGTCATCATAGCCATCGAACACCCTCTTCTTGGGGACTCTTTTGCTCTTGCGAACGGAGGAGCCACTTGGTTCCACTTGCTTTCTCCTCCCCGTCATAGATTCGTCTCCCTCTAGATCAGCCTTGTTATCCAGAGGGGAATGACAATCATCTGAGCTTCCCTGCCATTAAATGTCAAAATATATGATGAGTCTATGGTATCTAAAAGCCTATCACAAAAATTAAGAGACAATCTAATCTTTTACTAGCCCTTGAGCCAAGTTTACTAGTGTATAAATCCAAAAGCATTTACATCTCAATGAGATTTATATAGTACTTTTATCATCCTTATAAATTATCTTTTAGGGTTGTAGTAGTAGGTAGCAATTACCAAAAAAAGAAAAAAACAGAAGCTCAATGCAAGAAGATAATAAAGATACTAGTCTACATGAATCTCAATGGATGCGAGACAATTGAGCATTGACATCGAAAGTAGAATAAGTCACCTCCAAATGGTTGCTGTTAGTAGTATCATTCACCGGCCTTGGAGATGAGGCATTAGCATGAAGGAGGCGAGTCACACCACCGATTTTGAGCTTCAATCTCTTGGTTTGACCCAAATCAGCTCCCTTGATGCCATTACACACATCAATGCGCAGAGAATCATGGTTTCCTCTTTGGGATTCAGCAGCCCTTGAGATACAATGGGTAAGACTAAAATCTTTCCTCCTCCTCCTAGGGTTGGTATCAAATGCGGGTATATCATCATCACTGGAGATGTTGGTGAAATGATGTGAAGGTGGTGGGAAAAGAGTGGATGATGCTTCAGCAGGGCGAGGACGACGAGAAGTAAGGCTACGTTTCTTCCTGACGGTATTATTACTGATACCATTAAAACCACCATTATCTTCCATGGCACATACACACACTCTTTTGGCTCTTAAGAGATGGCTTTTAAGCTGAATATTAAGTGAAGAACGAACTGCTGAGAAGCACTCACACACACAACAACATGTAAAGCATTAATTAGAGCCAGCAAGGAGGAGTAACAATTAATCAGAAAGAAAGGGCAAAGGAGTTCCAATTTTAAAGAGATGAATTGAAAACACAGACAAGAACTAAAAACAATCATAAACGCGGGTAGCAGATCCAAAACCTTGGACGAATCGTAAGCAACAGCAGACGATCTATAGTCTAAATCAAAGTATAAAACACTGAAAACTCAAAACAAGCTTCAAAGACAAGAAGCAAATCAAAATTAGAGAGAGAGAGAGAGGGAGAAACCTAGAGCGGTCAGCAAAGATGGAGACAAGAGGATAGATAAGATGATGATGATGATGATAAAAGGGAAGCCAATCTAGGGGAAAAGTCGAGGATTGAATCCCCCACTTAGGAGGGTTTAGGATAAGAATGAAGACAGCAGAAGAAGAGAAGTAAAGGCTAAATATCATCTGCTGCTCCTCATCCTTGAGAATCATTTTTGGGGTTTTTGATTATTTCAACACCAACCCCCTCTCTCTCTCTCTCTTACCCTCTCATAAGGAAAAAAAATCCAAACATCCCTTTTTTGTACTGCTGTTGACTCGGTTGAGCCGACTCAGATTGTAACTCGAGTCCCCTCTTTTTTAAGACCCGTTGGTGCGCATGTTAAGAATGATGCACGCTGGTGTGTGTGTGTGTGTATGTTAGCTCACTTCAATCTCTGTATTCGCATTCAATGACACGTGTTTTTTTTCTTCTCAGATGCATAACAAAGACATGGGAGTATTTTATAACAAAACAAAATTGTTACAAAAATCAAAAGAAAAATATTATTGTTAAATAATATCAGATAATGATTATCCATCTATCTTATTAAAGCAGAAATATCTCAACTTCTTCTAGATAAGATTTTTAATTTGGATTTCACATTATTAATGTATTATTAATGTAATATATTATATATCTAAGTAATCTAATTACAATATGGCTGACAAAAAAAAAATTACTATATGATATGATATTTTGTGGGTATCTATTTTTTAGGAAGTTACGGATATTTTGGTATCTTATAATTAATAAAAAGATAATTATAATTCATGTAGAATGTTAGTTATATATCCACATTTAATTTAGATATATACCTTCTCATTCTTTAGGAAAATCCCTAATATATATTTTTTTAAACAGAAAATCTTGGTTATTAATTATAAAGAACAATTTCAATTTTTAATAAATAATGATTATGTTTACTTCAAAAAAAATTTATAATCAAAATAAATTTACTTGGATACAAAATCATGCCATATTAAATATCTATAGTGAGATATGTCAATTAAAAAAATGTTGTAGTATACGCTTAAGATTTTTTCCTTATATATATATATATATATATATATATATTATATTTAAATATTTGTGGTAGAACATGTCATTTAAAAAGTTGTTCCAATCAACTGACAAGATATCTCTCTCTTAATATTTATGGAGAATTTAGTATTTAATGTTTATAGTGAAATATGTCAACCAAATATCTTTTCTAATCTCCTCACGAAATATTCTATTTTTCTTTACTAACAAAATATTCCAAAAATAATCATACCTTATAAACATAATATTTATGGAGAATTTATTAAAGTATATTCTATTTCAAAACTTCTTGTGAAAGCTATATCATTTATAAACGTTTACCAATCCTCTGTATATTAATTGAGAAATATTTGAAAAATATAATTTTAAGTTTGTATTAATTAAAAAATAATCCAATCTTACGTTGCACATCTCTATGCATTCTATTTCAAAATAGAATGATTCTAAAGCTTCTAACTTAAAATATAGTATAAAAAGTATACTCTTTAGCAATATAATATTTTGTAGGCTATAGTTGGTCGCATATATCAAATATTTATTGTATCGCAGATTATCTTTAAATAAAACCTAGGGAATTAACTAATGTGAATTAAATATATATGGTAATTAATTATTATTATTTTTTTTGACATCGACAAACAGACTCATATTGACTCTGTATCCATGTGAACCACGTAAGACGATTGTCCTCTGGCACTGTGTGCAAGACTATCCGCCCTTGAATTTAGTGTTCCTGATACATAGATAATTTCTGAGCTATGGAAATTCCCTTTAAGCGCCTTGATATCCTGCAGATAATTTGCAAAGGCTGGCCATTCGTCTGGTTCCGACACCTTCTTCACCAATTGAGAACAATCTGTTGCAAAAGTAACATGATACTGACGCAAATTCCTCATACTCTCCATTACCCAAATAAGCGCTTCCACCTCAGAATGAAAAGGTGATAGGCTAGCTCTAACATTTCTTGCTCCCATTAAACCCACAAAACCTTCGAGTGTACTATACCAACCATGACCGTCAAACACATCCTTATCATTCCATGAACCATCCATAAAACACCAACGCCCTGCTCTAGGCGGTATGGTTGCAACTACTCCTGACTGTGTTTCACTTTAAGATGCTCTAATGTGGCCCTCCTCCTAGAGAAGTGATTCTGTCTCCACCAATTTAAATGTGTCCTTCGGATCAATGTCCAAATTATTAATTTTTTTGCTATTTCGCCCTTTCCACATATACCACAATATCCAGGCGAATTGATGATCATCCATCTTCGGATTAACCCGCCAATATAAATGATCCATATTCGTAAACAAAGACAGTGTAGTTGATAACAATCTGTATACTTTTTATTATTTTGTTTATTTCTTTATTATTAAAATAAATTACAAAATTGCATTAATAATATAATAAAAATTTCTATTTTTTTGTAGTTGTATTTCGAATTTTTCAAAACAAGTGTAAATTACTAAAATTGTTAAAAGTCTCACATAAATTTTCAGGATCAAGGTTTTAATTTTTTTATATTAAAATATAATGATTATAAGACCATATGAAGAAATAATTTTATTTTAATAGGTTTTATGTTAATATATATATACATATTTTATATCATTTAAATTAAACTATACATCGTATGAAAATACATACTTATATTTTGATATTTGCATTGAACATATATTGAAAAGTTAACAATTTAATTTTGAAATATTTCATTGTTTTTTTTAAATGATTATAAATTATTGAAACTACTAAACATCTCACATTAAAAAAATTCGTTGGTGTAAAGTTTTGTTACAAAAATATGCAAATAATCAGAAAATCATATGAGTAGAAACCTCATTTAATAAATATCCATATTAAAAGTGTGCTATATTACTATGTTTATATTATTAAATTTAATTAAATATCGTTTACGATATATAAGATTGATTTTTATTTATTTATTTACCCTAACTGCGAATAAACAAGAGTGATAGTTAAATTTATATGCATATACCAATTTATTACATAATAGTAACTGATTTCTTAGTTATTTAATATATATATTGTTGGTGTCAAAAACCGTAATCTCGAAATCAACGTCTACGATTATTTCCGTTAAATATCAAAATCATTACTTTCCGCAAAAATTAAAATACGTTTTTAAAACACGAGAAGTCGTTTTATAAAACCCTAAAGATTTTCCGAAACAAAAGAAATCTGCGGAAAACTTGGAAATCGTCATCTCGAAAGGACGAAGGAAGCAATTGCAAATTACACGATTTCCAAGATAAGCAAAAAATCGCATCCGCCGTAAACCGTGAGCAGGTTCGATCGAACCAGTTCAGCGTACGACGAGCCGAACCAGCCGGTTCAGCTCACCGTACGGCGAACTGGTCGATCCCGGACCAGCTCGCCGTACGGCGAGCTGGAGGCCCACGGACCAGCTCGCCGTACGGCGAGCTGGCCATCTCCCAACAGCTCACCGTACGTCGAGCTGACAATCCTGAACCTCGATCTCCCACGTCCTCGACTCAAGGCATACGTCCTTCAGTTCGATCATACTCTGAACCATGGTCAAAACCTCTTCCGTTTCGCCTTGTTCCGTCTCACCGTTTAAGTTTTACGATAAGAATCGTAAAACTCTTCTTTTCTCGTAAAATTTGGGAAGATCGTATAAAACGGCAACGATTAAAGGAAACATCGTACATTGTCAAACTATACGATCAACTCGAGAAATCTTATAAAAACGACATCGTATCAGGAAACGATCTCGTAAAAAATCGTACACGGCTTTTATCGCAAAATGGCTCGGAGAGCCAAAAAGCGCAATAAAAACCCACTTGCGACTTTAAATGAAATCTAGCCCAAAGATACAATGACGGTTTGGTATTTACTCGCAGAAGGAAGATAAATGTCAAGTTTGAAGATAAATGTCAATTTTGAAGATAAATAGAAGATTTCCGCACAAAAAAAGAAAGATCGAGATAAATGGAAGATTCCCGATAAACTCGAATCTAGGCGAAAAGGAAGGACTAAACCGCCTAAGGAGGGAGTATATAAGCAGAAGATAGAGGACAAAAGCAAGGGACGAATTCTAGACCTAGAAAGACGGCTGTTAGCTTAGGCGAATTTAGGACTTAGGTGTTTAGACTAGCAAGTCGGATCCTTAGAACGTTTTGACGTCTAAGTTCCGCGATTCTCTTTGTAACAGTAGTCAACCTCTTTATCAATAAAAGCTCTTACGCAAATTATTTATCTAAACTATGTTCGTAGTTATTTCTATTCATCCATATTCTGTTAATCTTTTATGTTTTAGTGGTTTCCGCAGAGATCCAGGACCTCGGGAGAATTAGGGATTTCCCTAAGTTTCTATATTTGACGAAAAATCGACAGTGTGAATTTCGGTTCCCACAGTTTGGCGCTAGAAAGAGGGGGGGTCGGATTCTCTTACACAATAACCGCTGGAACAAACGAGAAGAGATATGCCTAACTTAAACGGCGACGTCATCTCGTTCAAGGAAAGAGCAACGATCGATTCGATCAAACCTCTCAACGATCTTCTTGTCATCGAGATGACGATCCAGAATATGGATGTCGCAAGGATATTAGTCGATACCGGAAGCTCGGATGATATCATCTTCAAAAACACTCTCGAGAGAATGGATATCGATCTGTCTGAAATCACGGAAAACGCAAGCCCGCTAGTAAGACTTTAGGAGAAATCACCATGACTCTCGGCATGATCAACCTCATGGTTCAAGCCGAAAGCGTAGTCGGTAACGTCGAATTCCTAGTCGTCGATCGGCCCATGTCCTACAACGCAATCGTAGGGACACCGTGGTTGAATTCGATGCAAGCGGTACCATCGACATACCATATGTGTCTTAAGTTTCCGACTCCGCGCGGAATCGAGACCATCTGGGGAAATCGGAGAACTTCGCAAGTTTGCTATGCCGTGGATTTAAAACAAAAAAATTTGCCGGCTGACACTCCTTCCAACAAGAAAAATAAATCGTCTGCACTTGACAACGCCCCAAAACTAGATAAAACGGAAATCTTTTGGCTGTTGCGAGCAGCCGAGGCACTGGAGGGTAAACGCGAGCCTACCTGTGAACCTGTCATCTCGGTATGCATCGATGAAGTCTTC